GGGGGCTCAAAATCAGGGCAAGAAGACAGAGGGGGCTCAGAACCAGGGTAAGAAAGGAGAGGGGGCTCAAAATCAGGGCAAGAAGGCAGAGGGGGCCCAGAACCAGGGCAAGAAGGCAGAGGGGGTCCAGAACCAGGGCAAGAAGGCAGAGGGGGCCCAGAACCAGGGCAAGAAGGCAGAGGGGGCCCAGAACCAGGGCAAGAAGGCAGATGGGAACCCCCAATCAGGGCAAGAAGGCAGAGGGGACCCCCAACCAGGGCAAGAAGGCAGAGGGGACCCCCAACCAGGGTAAGAAAGCAGAGAGCGCCCAGAATCAGGGCAAAAAGTCAGAGGGGGCTTCCAATCAGGGCAAAAAGGCTGAAGGGGCCCCCAACCAGGGCAAGAAATCAGAAGGGGCCTCTAACCAGGGCAGAAAAGCAGAGGGGGCCCAGAATCAAGGCAAAAAGGCAGAGGGGGCCCAGAATCAGGGCAAAAAAAGAGGAAGGTACCCCAAACCAGGGCAAAAAGGTAGAAGGAAGCCCCAATCAGGGCAAGAAGGCAGAAGGGACCCAGAACCAGGGCAAGAAGACGGAGGGGGCTCCCAACCAGGGCAGAAAAGCAGAGGGGGGCCAGAATCAGGGCAAAAAGTCAGATTTGGTTGTTAATCAGGGTACAAAGGCAGATGGTGTTGCAAACCAGGGGAAAAAAGCCGAAGGCGCCCCCAGTCAAGGCAAAAAGGCAGAAATCACGTCGAACCAGGGCAAAAAGGCAGAAGGGTCCCCCAGCCAGGGCAAAAAGGTGGATGCATCAGCCAATCAGAGTAGAAAAGGAGACTCAGCTCCTGTCCAGGGCAAAAATGCAGATATGGTCCAGAGCCAGGAGGCGCCAAAGCAAGAGGCTCCTGCAAAGAAGAAGTCTGGGTCAAAGAAGAAGGGTGATTCCGGTAAGTGGCTCTGATTTCTTTATAAACTTGGAGGGGAAAGCTATCTTTAAAACACTTACGGATTCCCTTTGGGGAGGCCATCTGTATGTTGTATCAGATGTTGCCAAAACAAGGCTGCATAACAAACATCCCAGAATTCAGTGGTTTACTGCAGCAGTCACTTATGCTCGCTCCTGTTTCTGTTGACGCAGCTGGAGGTTGCCTGATCTGGGTTTTCCTGGCTAGGTGGCTCTGCTCCACACTGCAGTTTAATTGGTTTGGCTCCCGCTGCAGGTCGAGTGTTGGTCTCCTCCACGTGTGTCCGTTCTGGGGCCCGGGCCAAGGCATCAGTGAGCCTGGAGGGCAGAGGCCTTCCTCGTGGTTATGGCAGAACTATCAAAGGGCACTTTTCAAACCAGCATCCTATTGGCCAAAGCAAGGCACGTGGCTGAGCCCAAGTCAAGGGACAGGAAGTCCATTGCCTCCAGCAGGAGGGACTGCAGAGCGACATGGGGAGAAGGTGTGAGTTGGAGAGAGAGAAGAATTCGGAGCAGTGACTCCATCCACCACATGGTGTAGAACAGTTCCGTGTGTTGGCAGTGGTAAACGAATGGCTGCGTTCGGTCAGCCTGTTCTGCGTTCTCACCTCACCCAGTGCTTTAGCATAGCGTTGTTCTTTTCTGTGTGTTTGTTGAGTGAGTAACAGTAGGATAATGCTTCTAAGAAGTGATGGCATCCACAGCCCTGCCTCCCGGTTTTCCCTCTTTGGTACCCGCCACCCCAGTTATTTAATGGAGTGCCTTAGAACATTAAAATAGATATTATAGATCAGACACATATTAGATAATGTAGAATACGAATTTCCTGTTATCTTTTGGTGCTCATTGCTATAGAAATTAAGCCAGTGAGTTCCTGTTTCATGTTATCATTCATTTGGTACAGTAGGCTTTCCCTCCCTCCCTCCCGCCCTCCTTCTTTCCTCTCTTCTTACTCTGTGTGCAATTGCTCACATGCTCTCTCTTGATTTCTTTCTTTCTTATATTAGCCATTAGTTGGTTTGGGAAATTAATTGTATTTATCTTGATGAGGTACCTTAGGGGCTCTGAAATCCTGGGACCTGAGCCAGGTGGACAGGGCCCTGTGTTTGCAGCTGGGTTTCCCTCTCTTGCCCCTGTGTGAAGCTGTCTCACTTTTTCTCCGTTTCCTCCTCCCCCCAGCTTTTGCAGGGGACATTTGCTCGGGCGGCACTCTGCTCCCAGTCAGGGGACCTGTCCCGTGTGAGTGGCTTTGGGCTCCTACCGAGGCTCACGGACCAGCCTGCCTTGCCTTACCGGTCACATCAACCTCTCGGGCCCTTTGAAAATCCAAACACTGAGCCACTGTCCTGTTTTGAAGGTGATGTTCCATTTGACCAAGGGACAAGGGCGTTTGAGACAGAAGATGGGTGGAAATGAGACCCTGCCTGTTTTCTGGCTCTCCCACATCAAGTGTGTTCAGACTAGAACTTCCTATGGTCATTAGTACCATGTATGGCTTTAGACATTTGAAATAAGGTGTGAAACAGAAACAGATGATAATATTAGAAAGGAAGGCAAAATTGTCCCCATTTGTAGGTAATAAAGAGCCTTGTTAGCAGAAGACCTAATTTACAACCTGTATGAACCCACAAAGCAGTTCGACTGAGGTGGTGTAAGAGGACGTTGGAACAGAGGAAATACCGTGGTTCAGGATGAAAAAGACTAAATGTTGTAGTTTCATCCCCAAGTTAATTTAGTAGCTTACTGTTCTTCCTGCTGAAATTTCAGTGGGCTTAATGAAAGTCCCACCTCGAGGGGAAAATAAACAAGAATACTGAGGAGGTTTTTAAGTGCCTTTTGGAAGGCTGGTTTGTCTGATGTGTGAACGCATTCCCAAACTGCTGTAATTATGGTAGGATGCTGGCTCCAGGCCAGCAGGTCAGGAAGAGAGTGGTCCTAAGCAGACTGTGTGGCACCTGAGCACTTCAGTGAGGGGAGGAGAGAGGTTCAGCCACTGATCTTGGGCAGCGTGTGCCAGGTTTGGAAGGATCTGCTTATTAGCCCCCTCTAAAAATGTAACGTTCAGATGAATTAAAGTAAAAAGAAACCGAAACCTAGAAAGTATAAGAGCTGGCCAAAATTAGTATTGATCAGCCCAGGTGGTAGGAAGCTGTGACGCCAAGATCACAGGGAGAAAATCGCAAAGGCCGGTGCGGGGTGCTGGGCCACACGCCAGCCACATAGCCCGGCAGCCAGGACTGTGTGCGGACACTGCCTCACCGGGTGCTGTGTGGTCGATGTGACACCTGAATGTGAATTTTTTCTTCTTCAACTCTGAAGAGTCTGAAAACATGGAAACATACCTTCTTGCAGTTTCTTTTTCATCTTCCTGGCTGTGCTGTGGGATTTTGGCCCCGTTTGCCCGTGGTTGGTGTGCAGAGCCATCTTGAGGCCCTCAGGGTGGATGTGGGCCCTCCCCCAACTCCACAGAGATCCCCCAGCCCACTCCGTGCAGGGCCCCTCAAGCTCTAATGTGGGGATGAATCTCCGGGGATCTTGTTAGCATAAAGACTCCGACTCAGTACTTCCGGGCGGGGTCTGAAGTCCTGCATTTCTAACCAGCAACCCTGAGATGCTGGTGCAGTTGGTCCCAGGCCCACACTTGGGGGGTAGTCAGGGCCCCCGAGTCTGCCGAGGGTCGGGGGGCAGGAAAGAGTGATGAGTTCTTTCCCTAAGGGCTTGTCTCATCCATGAAGGACTGTGGCCGGGGAGGGGAGCGGTCAAGTGTGGGCCTCTCTCCTGGTCAGTTCGGGTATCCCCAGATGCAGGCATGCAGTTTAGAGCTGGCTCTGAAGACCCTTCCCAGGTCCCATGTCACAGTGTGTTTGGGGTTAGGGGCCGTTTTGTGTCTTGGGCCCTTCTCCGCGCCAGAGCCCTGATCATTGCAGGGATGTCCCCGCCTGTGCGGCGCTCACTCCCGCTGCCTCGTCCCCCAGTTCTCAGCAGAGTTGCGCAAGCCACAGCTGGTGGTTGAGGGTGTGAGGGACAGATATGGGGAATGGTGATCCGGTGGGGATGGAGGGCTCCCCTGCGATCACACCTTGGTTGTGGGACTCGGTGTTCCAGTGTTAGTCTGACCCATGTTGAGCTTTTGTGGCTGTGGCCCCGTTGCCACGTGGGAAGCAGGCCATGTTCTTGTCACGCAGTTATTCCTCGTGTCCTGTGCAGAAGGCTGAAGTCAGCCCTGGCTGCCCGCCCTTGGTTTCCTTGCCTGCCAGCCATGACTGTGTCAGTTTGGGGCCAGCTTCTTCAGACCCACATGTACCCACCTCAGGGGAACTGTGGACAGAATCCGGGCTGGGCTGGTGAGGTGTCTTGAAGACCATGCTACGGGGGTTGGGAAGATGGGTGGGGAGTGGGTTCTGCATCAAGCAGGCCAGGAAGAGAGCTTAGGGGAGGGGACCTTGACTTGGGCAGGGAGGGGCCATGAGGTTTCACCGTGGGTACCAGAGAGCTAGGGTCTGGGACTGTGCTGGCCAGTATGGGAGCTGCTAGTCACATGGGGCCATTTAAGTCAACATTCAAATCAATCAAAAGTCAACAAAATGAAAGACTCAGTCACATGGCCAGTGGCTACCCTTTTGGACAGTGCAGATGAAAACCGCCTGCATCAGTACACAAGGTTCTACTGGACAACACTTCTCTAAATAGGAGCCACTGGGACAGAGGTGGCCCTGTGAAGGTGGATGCTCCTCTGCAGCCCTGTTGGCATTGTGAGGCTCCTGCCCCACTGTTCTTCCTGCCCTTGTCCTGGGTGGGCTGGGACTGAGCTCCCGCCATCCTCCCGATCCACAGTGAGAGGTCACAGAGGCTATGCCTGGTCTGTGACACGTGGCAGATCAGCAGCAAAACTAGCCCAGGAGCTGGTCCGCCAGAGACAGGGTGGCTTCCTCAGTCACATGGGCTGTCCCTGTCTTGTTACCTGGTCGTCTCAGCAGGGCCCTCACTGACAGGAGCCCCAGAGGAGACTCCTGGAGGCGGGCACAGGACATGCTTCTGCAGGCCCGAGCTGGAATTATTCCAGAACTTCTGATCTGATTTTCCTACAAGAACAAATCGAGGCCTTGTGACAGATATTTACTGCTTGTTGGTGGCCGGATTTGACAGTGACCACCTGCCTTCCTAACCTTTTTCAAATTTATTGTGTAAATATGTACTTCCAGCAAACAAAATTTGAACAATATGGAAGCGTGGAAGGTGAAATTGGTTGTCTTCCTTTCCACTCCATGGCGGGCACCACCCACCTCCCCAAGGGAACCCTGGGGGTGCTCTGCTCTTCACCCTGACAGCGTACCATTGGGGCCTGTGGTGCGCAGAGATGGAGCTTATTACTTCCCTTGCTCACCAGTGTGCTGGTGACATCTTTCCAGATGCACCTGCAGAGCTGCCGCGTTCATATTCTGTAGCATGAATGTATCATAATTTATTTAAATGATGTTAAATAGCTTGCTGTTCTTTTGCTGCTAAAATTAATGGTGCAGTGACGTACGTGTACTATTGCGTGAGTATCTCTATAACGTAAATTCCTAGGAATGTAATTGCTAAGTCAAAAGGTAGGTGTATTTTTAATCTAGGGAGACAGCTCACGTTGCTGTCCAAGGGCCTGTCACGGTGGGCGTCCTCCCAGTGGTGTCCTGGCACCTCCCTCCGACCTCACTGCTCACGTCACTCCACAGAGGTGGTGGTCATTTCAGGGGCCTCTGTGAACCAGGTGCAGAATAAGGAGAAACACTTGTTTATGAAACAGAAGGTTCTTTTCTCGGTGTCTGGAGAAGAGGGAATTCATGGAATCACAGCAAAGTGGAAATTTCCTGGAAGTGAACCTTTGAGTGTTTGCAGCCCTGTCCAGGCCTCTGCTGGTTCGCTTCCCGAGAGTCACCTCAGCGAGAGCTCGTGTTGATCAGGAGAGCTCAGGAAGCGTGTGGACGTGGTGATGGTTTTGGG